GTGTACAGCTCTCTATACCTCCACAGCATATATCTACACGTCCATATCATAAATAATATACATAGACGAGCAAGATCCTCTATATATAGATACATATATATATATATTATATATATAGACATGTAGAGAGAGAGATATGTGTGCATACATGTGCGCGCGCGTATGTGTGTGTGTATGTATATATAGAAAGAAATAGAGAGAGAGTGTGTGTGTGTGTGTATGTGTATATATGTATGTGTGTATGTATGTGTGTGTCTGTGTGAGTGTGAGAGTGTCTGTGTGAGTGTCGTGTGTGTCGTGTGTCGTGTGTGTGTCGTGTGTGTGTGTCGTGGTGTGTGTGTGTGTGTGTGTGTGTGTGTGTGTGTGTGTGTGTGTCGACCTGTCTGTCCGTCTGCTTGTCTGTCTGCTTGTCAGCCTGCTTGTCAATCTAATTGTTCGTGTATTGGCACGACCTGTGCATCAGACGCCTCCAATTCACCACCATCGCCATCCCACACCACCACCGCCATTGGCAGTCATTCCCCATTGTGAGCCAGAAATATCCTCAACTCGCACAAAAGGGCGCGTTTCCCGCCGCCAAAACGCACTCGTACACCGCGGCAATGATGGGGTGTGTGCTGCTGTCAATTCCTGCCAATCCTGCTCGCCTTCTCTCCTTCGATAGCCGTTTGCAGAAGCGTGTATCTTTGGATATGCTTGCACACCGCACTCGTCACAAGAGTACAGCCACTCGCTGCGGCAACACAAACACATCGTTATCCACAACGCTGTCACACCTCACCCCACCACTACCCGTCCTGTGCCTGGCGTCAGATACATTGCCGAGTATGCGCACAACCGCAGCGTGGTGGTTGTCCCTGAGCTTGATGTCCCTGGCCACGCCGCCAGCTGGGGCCTTGGCATCCCAGACCTCCTCTGTACGTCATTCCATGCGAAGAGGATACTCCGTGTGTGTGTGTGTGTGTGTGTGTGTGTGTTGTGTGTGTCTGTGTGTGTGTCTGTGTCTGTGTGTGTATCTGTATTTGTGTGTGTCTGTGTGTCTGTGTCTGTGTCTGTCTCTGTCTGTCTGTGTGTGTATCTGTATTTGTGTGTGTATCTGTGTTTGCGTGTGTGTGGATCTGTGTCTGTTTGTGTGTCTGTGTGTGTATCTGTATTTGTGTGTGTGTGTGTGTGTGTGTGTGTGTGTGTATCTGTGTGTGTATCTGTGTTTGCGTGTGTGTGTGTGTATCTGTGTGTCTGTGTGTCTGTGTGTATGTGTCTGTATGTCTGTCTGTATGTCTGCTTGTATGTCTGGACTTGCGTGTTGCGTGCGTTCTCGGTACTTCCGCTCCACTGCTATTCCAAAGTTCTTCCTCATTCATGCATGCATGCATGCATGCCTGTGTCGGGTGCGGACTGTGCCTTACTGTTGTTCGTTGAGCCAGCGTGTGACGGCGGGAAGAGCCCGCTCAACCCAACGTCTCCAAAGTCATTTGAGGTCTGTCTGTAGCCATGGCTGTTGCTGCTGCTGCTGCTGCTGTTGAAGTTGTTGTTTAAGTTGCTGTTGCTGTTGTTGTTGTTGTTGCTGTTGTTGTTGTTGTTGTTGTTGTTGTTGTTGTTGTTGTTGTTGTTGTTGTTGTTGTTGTTGTTGTTGTTGTTGCTTCACTTTGCGCCGAGACGTGCTTTCGCCCCATACCGCGCTTTGATGCTGCCAATTGCGAGCAGTTTTGACGTTGGTATCAACGCAACCACGCGCTTGTAACGAAGGACTTATTCACTTGCATTGGCGCCGGCCGTTTGGTTCACACGTCCCTCCCGTACGTTCAGGTAATTCGTGATCTCATTGCAGAGCTCGCGCCCATATTCCCGCACCCGTACTTTCACGTCGGCGGTGACGAGTTTGACCTCAACTGCTGGAAAAGGAACCCAGGTCGGCGTGCACGTGATTTGCTTTGTTGTTGTTGTTGTTGTTGTTGTTGTTGTTGTTGTTGTTGTTGTTGTTGTTGTTGTTGTTGTTGTTGTTGTTGTTGTTGTTGTTGTTGTTTTGTTGTTGTTGTTATTGTTGTTGTTGTTGTTGTTTAAGTTGTTGTTTACGTTGTTGTTGTTGTTGTTGTTGTTGTTGTTGTTGTTGTTGTTGTTGTTGTTGTTTAAGTTGTTGTTGTTTAAGTTGTTGTTGTTGTTGTTGTTGTTGTTGTTGTTGTTGTTGTTGTTGTTGTTTAAGTTGTTGTTGTTGTTGTTGTTGTTGTTGTTGTTGTTGTTGTTGTTGTTGTTGTTGTTGTTGTTGTTGTTGTTGTTGTTGTTGTACTGTACCTGCGCTGGTGCATGCAGATCTGCCCTGCTTTCTTTCCCACCTGCCCATGCCCATCAAATGCTGCGTTTTCCTCTCCCTGCCTGTTTCGTATGTGTCCGCACAACATCGGTTGTTTGCAGACATTGCTGCTGCCATGAAAGCCCAGAGCGACCCTCGAGGAGAGGCTATGAGACAACGTATGCACGCGCGCTTGGGTGTCTGTGTGCCTGTGTCTGTCTGTCTGTCGGGTCTGTCGATCTGTCTCTGTGTGCGCCTTCATCTTGTGTGTGTGTGTGTGTGTGCACTGAGATTGCTCATCGCCACGAGTTGTGTTGCTTGCACGCTGTAACACTGACGCGTGTGCACACGTGCATGTATACATGCACGTTGTCCTAACACACACACACACACGTGTGCGTTGCTGTCGTCACTACAGAGCTTGTTGATGCCGCATTTGATGCACTCAAGGAACACGGCAAGACGCCAATCGTGTGGAAGGTAATGACTTGTAAATGATATTAGCATTGGTAATCCTTCCTTCCTTCCTTCCTTCCTTCCTTCCTTCCTTCCTTCCTTTGCATTCACCTCACCTCGTTTCCCTGTTATTTGTGAATGTGTGTGTGCGTGTGACAGGATCTCGTGGAAGGCCATCCCACCAAGATCCCCGACAACGCCATCATTCAGCACTGGAAATGCTGGGGCACAGAGGTGGGTGCTTGCGCTTGCGCTCACTGGGCGTCTTTGTCGCATACCGTGGCTGTGCGTGCCTGCCACGGACCTGCAATGAGAGTGATGACTCATACTGCGCATCATGTTTGCGCTTCCGTACTGAATCAGGTGTGCACGTTGCACGATACGCTTCAGAAGAGCGACCACGCTTCAGTGCAGGTGTGTGTGTGTGTGTGTGTGTGTGTATGTGTGTCTGTCTCCATGTGTCTGTGTCTGTGTCTGTGTGTGTGTGTCTGTGTCTGTGTGTGTGTGTGTGTGTGTGTGTGTGTGTGTCTGTGTCTGTGTGTGTCCATGTGTGTGTGTTAGTGTGTGCGCAGTCCCGTCTGCCCTGTGTCCCGTCTGCCTGCGTCTGTGTGCCCCGGCCCGGTCCTTCTATGAGATGTGGTGGTATAATAGTACCCATCATGTTGAACTGCCATCCCGTACTCATGTCAACTCTGCCATCCCACGCATCAACATTCAACCCGCAGTCAACGTGCGCGTATCTCGACTTTGATCGCGAATGGCCAAAGTTCCATCAGCAGACGATGCTGTTCCCCGACAAGTGCGGCAGCGTCGACCAAGACGTTGCCCGGGCAGTAGTGAGAGGCGGTGAGGCGGCCATCTGGTCCGGTACGTTCCTCCTTCCCTGCCCAAGCATGCGTGTGATGCTGTGCTTGTCTGGAGATGCTGGTTTCGCTGTGCATTTGTGCACGCATGTGGGAGTTGGTTGGTTTTGTACGCGGACGTGCGTGTGACCCATGTGCACTCTCGCCGCGTCTTCGTCACGCTTCCTCCCTCCCCACCACCGCCATGCTGTTGACTTTCGTGCAGAGCGCATCAGCCCACGCAACGTGTTCTGCCGCACATTCCCACGCGCTGTTGCATACGCCGAGCGCCTTTGGTCCTTTGACGTCAACACCGTTCCCTCGCAAAACCAGACAGACACGTTTTTCCCACGCATGACGTATGTCCCTCGTGTTGCGTGCTCGTGTGTGTGTGTGTGTGTGTGTGTGTGTGTGTGTGTGTGTGTGTGTGTGTGTGTGTGTGTGTGTGTGTGTGTGTGTGTGTGTGTGTGTGTGTGTGTGTGTGTGTGTGTGACAGAGAGACTGCGAGCTTGTTCTTGAACTGCTTCGACTGGGTTTTGATTTGGTTACACACGTTTACTTCGTTTCATCGATACCTCTCCTCCAATCAATGTAAAGTGACACCACTCGTACAACCCGGGTCAAGAGAATAAAAAGCGAGATTATGAATCGACAGGCTGGTGGGGACCTCGCATACCGTAGGTCTCACTCCTTCACTCGTGTCGATGGTCATGGTAGCGACACTCGCAGACAGCAATGGACTCGCAGCAAAACACACAAAACCCCCACTCCTGAACGTCCGCAGCAACCTGCACAAACCTGGCCTTGCTCACGCCGCGGAAGCGATAAACATGGAGCGTCTCAATCAGGCGCATGCAGATGAGCGATTCATGCGTGTCGCTTGGAAGATGCCTCACAAGCTCGAGTAGTCGTCGGAGGGCGTTGATGAGCACAAGCCGGAGCTCCTGCTCTGTCTTGCCGAACACCTCCGGGCAAAATGGGACTGTGCACCAGCCTCGGACAGGACAATCGGGGTGCTGTCTTGGCGACATGGCTGCTTTGTTCTTGAGTGGTCTTGATGTCGCGGTACTCTCTCAGAGTGCGGGGCCTGGGGATGCTTGAGGAGCCGTGCTAGATGCGAGGGAAAATGGAGTCGCTGGTGAGTGTACTTGGATGGAGAGCAAACGAAGCGTTGGGTGTGCGAGTTGCGTGCTTCGACAATGGAGCAACCAAAGCAACAAATGCGGCGTCAGAACATGTCGAGGAGAGAACAAGAGCAAGGCATTCAAAGGTGGCATTGGGGTGGAGAACACTCGCCCACCTTGGTGCGTCTTGCTGTGTTGTACTCTTGTGAATTCTTCTGTTCTTGTGCTCTTGGCGTGCTGAGGAGAAAATGCCATGCCGCTGCACTGGTGTGACACATGCGAGTGCTTGAGGGTACTGCGACCACTGTTTTGCACGTGTTACAGCGCGTGGACAGCACATGTGAGGCATGCGCAGCCACGTGTCCTCCTTCTGACGAAATTTGAATTCATGACGTCATGTCACGGCGTTGTGACACACCAAGACTTTTTTCGCGTGTGTTTGCTTGTTGCTCAGCATGCTCTGCCGTGCCCTTCGCGTCATGCGAGCCAACGACGCGAGAATTGGTCATCGGCTCCTGATGAACGCAACAAAGGCAAGGAGAGAGAACGTTGACTGCAACTCCTAGAATGTGTTGGACTGCACTTCTCTGTTCAGCATTCGTCCTTGCAGCTTTGTACTTGAGTTGCGTCGAATGTGACCTGTGGGGCTGAGGGGTGCCGTGATTGCTGGGATAGCGTCGTTGTAACAGCTGTCGCCAACGACGGCGTTCGAGTGCCACCCTTACAACCCTCTTTCCTCCTGTCGTCACCCTCGTCCACTCCTTTGTGTACATATAGACACACGCACGGGCACGCGTATTCTGACGTACACACATGCGAAACATAGACACCGATGCTTGCTGTTTAACGTTGCTGCTATGAATGCTTGTTTGTGTATTCCAGTTGGGGACAGGTAAGTCGACTAAGCCAACAAAGCCACGAAATGAGCAGCAATCTCATAAGCGAAGGGTAGAGGCAACACACGTGCGAGCACAAACACGTGCACGGCAAACAGACAGCAACAGGGACAGGGACAACAAAAAGGAGACAGGTATGTGGCGAGTGATGGTGAGAGGAGCGAAGGGCTACAAAGTGGGCCTCTTGAAAACAAAGGTCATGCTCAAGTCCAGACGTCCAGCAGGGCTACTCTTCGTCGTCATCGTCGTCATCGTCGTTGTCGTCGTCGTCGTCGTCATCGTCGTCGTCAGAAGAATCATTCTTGGGATGGAAGTCAGCTCGGTTGAAGCAGAGGCACAGCACGCAAAAATTGAAGCACATGGCTACTGCGTGCGCCGCAAAGACTAGATGCTCTGGTTTAGGCTCGGGACTCTCTTCAAGTCGTCGTGCGAGAGTAAAGGAAACCATGTTGACAATTGCGAGGCGCTCCGTGGCGCCTTTCTTGCCTCGCTTCACTTCTGCTGCAAGATCGCGTCTGAGGTTGGTCAGATACTGGGCTGCTCGAACAACCTCATGGTATCCCACAGCGTTCGGTCCAATCTCGTCATATAGCCGGTCACATATCCTCAGGTTGTACCGGTGATGCGGACAGAACACGACGCGGTTCTGGAACATGTCTTGATGCTCCTATGTCGCCCAAACACAGCAAGTGTCAAGCAACAAAGCCCATCCACACAAGACGAGAGAGGACAACAGCGGGGGACAGGTTAGCTTGAGCAGACTGCGCACACGTGTCAGGACAGGGGGCGTGGGCAGCAGCAACAGCAGCAGCAGCAGGAGTGTCAACGGTGCATGACAGGCAGTTCACGGGCGGCACCAGCTCCATGGCGATGAGAGCAACTGAGCATCAGGCCAATGGATGACAGTGCAAGAGTCTAAGAGTGGTGGGGTGTGGCGAATGCATGGGCGCTTGCTCACCTCGAAGGAGAGTTGGGTGCAGAGCAGAGCAAGGAGAGCAGGGAGGAGGAGAGGAGAGCAAGCCAAGAAGCCAAAAGCAACCACTCGCAGACAAGAAGGCGACTGAGCAAGGGAGCAACACAAGAGAAAATGACCAGCGAACCACCAACAGCAGACGCAAGGAGCATGAACAGCACGTGGTCGTTCGCACGAGGGACTGATGAGGGAGGGTAATGCACGTGCACCGCGAACAGAGGACTAGGCACAGCGACACGTCTACACGTGGACAGTCGACATGCACGCACGCGAAAACACGCGTCAGTCCTGTCGATGACGTCATGCCATGCGCTTTGGGCCTTAGAAGTGCATTGTAATGTACGTAATTTTTTGCCCACTACTCTGAGCGGTTTTCTGTGGACAACAACACAGACAGGCGACGCACTTGCCACGCGCTCACGATCATGCGTGTGCTGCACATGTGCTGCCACGCGATCATGTGATACCTGGCCATGCGCACACGCGAGCACGCGTCACGTGCCAGTGTGACAGCTGGCGTGCAGCTTTGCGACTTGAGTCGACCATCGCCTGTGCCCTTGGCATGGACTTCATTTTCACCGCGCTCTTCGCTCCAGCACAGCACAGGTGAGCTCTGCTGGACTGTGTGATATGGTCCTCGCTTGCTGTCAAAGGCTCGGGTGTGCTGTTTGTCTTCAGTTGCACCCATCACCTTGCCTCCTCAAGCACCCTGTTGCTGCATTGCTCGCATTGTGTGCGTGCGTATGTGTGCATGTATGTGCGTGCGTGCGTGTGCGTGCGTGTGTATCTGGTTGTGTGTACGCCCATGTCTATGTCTGTTCCTCTTACTCCCCCGTCTCTGCGTGTGTCCTGTGATCACCCTCATTGCTATCTCCACCTTCCATCAGTGTTCGGCATTCTTCATCGCCAGTTAGATGAGCTCAGCCCACCACGAAACAACCGACTCGCTTGACTTCCTGGCTCCTCAGCGCGCATCTCTCCCATCGCACCATGTCGCGCCCTTATCCGTGCCCCCGGCTTGGCCCTGGCAAATGCTGTATCACCTTGTTCTGCCCCGAGTTCTGCAAGATGACAGACAGGGAGCTGCTCCAGTGCTTACCAAAGGCACAAGCACACCTGCGATTACGCTGTCAAATACTCGCTTCCGAACTGGCGAAACGACCAACTGATAAGGGCGCTGCAAAGATGCTGTCGGTCTATCGTCGACTGCAACAACTCTCGATGGATGCCAATGGCCTGAAACTGCTGTTGCTCGAAGGATTCTGTGTGTTTTGCTTAAGGTTGTTTCAAGACTGCAGTTGCCGCTACGCTTCAAACCCGCGTGTGCCACTGCCATCATGACGTTTGGCGACAAGCGACCCTTGCATCAACTTTGGGAGACTGCTGTGCCTTTCCTGGCAAGGGTGCCTCTTACTTGCGGTGTCCACCCTATCCAGTACCGTACCTTGGGGCTGTTCCCTTTTGTTGATGCCCCTCCCTCATGTCTACCTGCTCAACACACGTGCATGCTTGCGTGTCTGGTGTCTCTGCGCATCAAGTCCGTTTACATGGATTGGCACGAGCACCCGCTCACATCACATTGCACATTGAATATCAAGTGAACCAAGTAAACGAAGTGCTTTCGTATCCCAAGTCAAACGGCCCACACCATACAAAGCCGTGCCGGAGGAACAGGGGGTGGGCGAGACGACAAATTCACAGCAACACAACAACATGCGTGGGTGGACGGACACGTCGTTGCGCGACAGTGAAAGGGGGAAATCAACGGTCTGGCACAGACCAAGGCATGGCCTCACGAAGATTATTATTTCACAGCACAGTGCACGACGGTCAGGATATCAGGGCATCATCCAAGGATCCAATACGCGCACGCGCACGCGCACGGGGTGCATCCATACATGTGCACGACACAACACACACACAGACACAGACACAGACACAGACACACACACACACACACACAGACACAGACACACAGACGCACAGACACACACACATGCCCAACACACACAAACACACACAGACACACACACACAGACACACACACACACACACACACACACACACACACACACACGACCGCGCGTCTGTTTCATTCGGGAAGAAACGTGTTCATGCAAAAGCCGGCGATGAGGCCGCCAAAGAAGAAGGCTGCGCACGCGCGCGCAAGGGCGGAGCTGCCGGCCTTGGCCTCCTGGTACGAGTCGGAGTAGAGCTGCGTCGTGGCGAGGTACGTGATCTGGCCCACGGTGAAGGCAACAATGCCAGAGAAGATAGCCGACGAGCGGGAGATGGCAAGGATGACGGCGCGCCCAAGCCACGCACCAAGGAGCATGGTGAAGGGGATGGCAACCAGGCACGGGACAGCCACCCGCCGCTGCACGCCGTGCTTGTACAAGATGCTGGAGAGCGCTGCGCCCGTGATGCACATCTCCATGGCCAGCGAGCCGCTCACCACCAGACCCTGCGTCAGGGTGAGGGATGAGGTCACGCCGATGACCAGCCCGTCGCTCATTCCGTCCAGCGCGATGAGCACCGCGGCACCCAGCGGGAAGTCGCCCGCCCCCGGGTGCGGCAGGCGCCGTCGCCGCGACACGGGCAGCGGGGCCGGCGGAGCAGAGGTGGTGCGGCGCAGGCGCAGCGGCCGCCGCCCGTCCCACACGCCGGCGTCAATGCTCTCCGCAAGCGAGTGCTCGCCAGCCAGATACTCGATGGGCGGGTTGTTGATGGTTGCGGCGCTGTACACGCTGCTTGCATCTGTCAACAGCGGCTGCTGCTCTGCATCGTCGGCATTGTCGCTGCCCACACGCCTGCGCCGCCTGCGACCGCCGCGCACACAGCGCGGGTGGTGGTGACGGCGCTGACCCGACGGCGACGCTGTGGACCACGCACGGCTGTGATCCGTTGTGTGAGAAGGCAGCTGTGGCTGTGACGCTGGTTGTGATGTTGGGTGCGATGTTGGTTGTGTTCCTTGAGATGATGCTGGCGGTGGTCGTGGTGGTGACGAGGACGCTAACAGAGGTGCCGATGATGGTGGCGTGTTGTCATTGTCTGCACGCGCATGCGGCGGGGTCAAAGGTGTTCCCGGGGTCGAAGGCGAAGGCGATGATGCTGATGGGGATGATGTTGACAGCGACGGCGGCGCCACCATGAGCATCGAGGGCGTGTGCTGGCCCATGTCTGCAAACGGAAACCGAGAGTATGGCATGCCACCTGGCGCATTGACGCTGGGTGACTCAGCAGGTGGCTGATGTTGCGGGTGCGTCAGGTTGTTGGTGTTGTTGAGCTGTGCGTCGTAGTCGTGTGCCTTGGCGTGTGCTGCATCACGTTCGCCCATGGCGGCGCTTGTGGTTGCTGTAGTGTGAGGTTTGCCGTTGGGCGCTGCATGGCTGGCACTGCTGGTCTTGCTGGGTTCTGCAGGACGGGGCTGCTGCTGCTTCTCCAGGAGGTTCTGCAGCTGCCTCTCCCTCCGCTCGCGCTGCTGGCGCCGGCGCTCGTCCTGCGCCCTCTCATGCGCCTGCGCGATGCGGTCCTCGGCGACGTCGAGGATGATCACCATACCGCCGGCCACGGCCAGGCCACGACGACGGCGACGGCGTGCGGCGTGTCCAGGCTCTTGGTTGCCAGCGGGACCAGCTCGAAGAAGAGCGAGGCCACCAGCAAGCCTGCGGCCAAGGAGCCGAAGCAGCAGCGCACGCGGCGCCCAGGCGCGTAGAAGTAGGCGGTGAGGGAGCCGACAATCATGCAGCCGATGGGCAGGCACACGACCCCACACAGCACAGCCAGATCATGGCTGAAGAACTTCATGCTGCGTATATGTGTGTGTATGTGTGTGTGTGTGCGTGTGTGTGCGTGTGTGCGTGTGTGTGTGTGTGAGCGAGCGTGGACAGGGGATTGGGAAAAGGATGGGTTGCTGGCTGGAAGCAGCTGAGCTGCAGTGCAACAACACGCTGCACTGCTAATGTGTGTGCTTGTGTGCTTGTGTGGGCGTTAGGCGAGTCAAACACGAGAGGGGGCGACTTCTGGGAGTGGGTGGCGCCGGGTTTGGTCAATGGTGCTGTCACATCCCATCACAGCAGCATCACAGACAGCATCACACGCAGCAGTTATTGTGCTCGAAGGAAGAGGCTGTGCTGGAAGTTGTGCATGGTTGCTTGCTGGGTGGATTGTGACGGTTGTCGTAGTTGGTTTATTGGGGAAAACTCGCTGAAATCTTACACTGCTCCCAGCGCTCAAAAGATGGGGAAGGCAATTGCGGCAAAACAAAGGGCAGCGGTGCGTATGGGTGAATGTGTGTGAGAGCACGCGCCTCATAGACAGAAAGAAAAGTGAATCAATAGATAGATAGATAGAAACCAAGTGCCTCGGTGCGAGGCTCATGTGTAGTGCTGCGACTGTCGCTTAGACAGTTGCAGGGGGCTCTGTTGCGGCCGGGCCACCGGGGCTTCGTGAGGTCACTGGGGCGCTGCGTGGCTGTCCCTCATCGTTGTCGGTGGTGGCGGTGGCAGCGGCGGTGGCAGCAGTGCCGTTGTTGCTGTCATTGCTGCGCTGGCCGCTGTGGCCGGGGGGTGTGGTCTGCGGATGCTTGCGCTTGCGGGTGCGTTTGCCCTGTTGGTGGTTGCGCTGGGCTTGAGCGCGCGCCCGCTGCACCGTCTGGGTGCTCTGGCGGGGAGTGTGTGTGTCTCCCGCCCGGACCGAGCCCGGCTGGTTTTTGCCCCGCTTGTCGTGAGGCATCTGGCCGATGCACCGGAGGTTCGCGTAGCACTCAGCCTTGCATCTCGCGATGGACAACACTTGCCGCCAGTACGTGCTGCTGTGCATGGAGGTAAAAGTGCGCACGTGTGGTGGTGTTTGTGGGTCCGTCGTGGACATAAGGTCGCTGCTGAAGAACTTCCGGAACTTCGAGCCCCAGGCGCCCGAGCCGGCCTCGATCGCAATCGGCACAAATTTGAAGTCGCCCTGGTCGCGTAGGATGGCCTGGTACTTCTTGATCTTGCGTTGTTCCGCCTGCGACGCCGCGTTTTTCCTAAGTTGTCGTAGTTGATGTGATTGCAGAAGCAACACAACAAAACGACAAAGGCTGAGCATGAAAAAGGAAAACAAAAAAGTGGACCCACCGGGGATTGAACCCGGGACATCGTGCATGCAAAGCACGCGCTCTACCACTGAGCTATGGGCCCCAACACTCGGTTGCAATAGGGGTGAAAATTGTGCTGTTCAAGCACAACCAACACGACACAGAGGATGATGATGAAGCCACACGAGGACAACGACAACAGCGGTCGCAGTGGTGGCAGTGGCGGTCATGGCCGCAGTGATGATCTGCAGCAACAGCAGGAGCAGTTGCAACAGCAGGAGCAGCAGCGAGAGGCGTTGCTGCAGCAGTTGAGGACAAGGGTGGTGGTACTGGGGGCGGTGATTGAGGATGAGCCAGAAGAAACAGTGGCATCAGCGGAATCGACTGGGGGGAAGGAGAGCAATGTGGACAAGGGCGAAGAAGATGCATCTAAGAAGAAGGCAGGGAGCAGTAGTGGTAACAGCAGCAGCAGCAGCAGCAGCAGCAGCAGCAGCAGCAGCAGCAGCAGCAGCAGCAGGAGAAGAAGAAGAAGAAGAATACAAAGGCCAGTGCCATGCTGCACGCTGCTGGCCGGACCACGACACAGTGGCAAGGTCTCACGTGTGTGTGTGTGTGTGTGTGTGTGTGTGTGTGTGTGTGTGTGTGTGTGTGTGTGTGTGTGTGTGTGTGTGTGTGTGTGTGTGTGTGTGTGTGTGTGTGTGTGTGTGTGTGTGTGTGTGTGTGTGTGTGTGTGTGTGCGTATGTGTGTGCGTATGTGTGTGCGTATGTGTGTGTATGTGTGTGTTTCTTGGCGTGCGTTGCCTGCTTTTGCTAAACCTTTGTTGACGTTGTTGTTGCACATCATAATGCAACCTCACTTGTTCACGTCGCTGCTTCCCTTTGCCTGTGTTGTTGGCACTGTGCAGACGAGACTCGTTGAGGAGTTGATGGCATCCACGCCATCATGGCGTGTGCGCCGCCTGCAGCTGCTGAACAAGTTTGAAGATGCTGCAAACTGGCCACGCACGGTTTCGGTATGCACCATCATCTGCGTCGTCCTCATCCATTTGCGCCTGCATGAGCTGCGTGCACTGCGTGTGCGCAACCTTGCTTCGTTGTTTGCCCACGCTCACGCTCACATGATTGCATCATTTTGTGTGTGTTTGCAGGAACTAGATCGTGCAAAGGGCGAGCTGGAAGCATCCTTGTCGACAGCACAACCACCAGCACATGGCACACCATCATCACCGCAGCTGCTCGGTCAGACAATGTTTTGTGTGTGTGTGTGTGTGTGTGTCTGTGTGTGTGTGTGTGTGTGTCTGTGTGTGTGTGTGTGTGGATGTGTGTGTGTATTCAGCTTAACACGCACTACCCATGACGCTGGACAACTTTAGTGCTGGACAACGTGGACACGCTGAAATGGAAACACAACTTGCTGCAGGCTGTTCTGCAGCTCATCGACACAGCCCTCGCCAATAACGTATGTTGACCACCATTGCTCACGCAGCGGCGCAGACGCGTGTGGCTTGTCACGCCATGCTAGGCGACATCCCAAAGCACACACACACACACACACGCACACACACACACACACACACACACATACAATGTGCAGGTTGCTGTGGTCGGCACGTGTCGTCGCCCAGGGCTGGTGCCACGTGCGCTGCTCAGTCCGCCATACTTTGACACCCGCATCGACCTACGACCACCGCCGCCGCCACCACCACCACCACCACCACCACCACAGCAGCAACAGCACGGAGCACCAGCACCGCCATCGTCGTCACGGCTGCCGCCCCTGTTGACCTGCACACCACCACCATCATCATCATCGTCGTCGTCGTCGTCGCAGTGGGCGCCGCTGCTGCACCCGAGCCGCAACACCGTGCCGCCCTGCGCGTTTGCCGGTTACCAGAGCACGCACGCGCGGGTGATGGCTGTTGTTGAGAGCTGGCGGCGAGGGTCGTTGCAGGCGCTTGGGCTGACGCCGCCGTCGGGGCTGCTGCTGCATGGACCGCCAGGCTGCGGCAAGACCCTGCTCGCCCTCACCATCATCAACCGCCTCAACCTCCCCGTCTTTGCCGTTTCCGTACGTGCTGCATGGTGTATGTTGGTGTGTGTGTGTGTGTGTGTGGTTACGCGCGGGGACGCGGGTTTGCATTTGTGCACGCCTGCATATGCTGTGCCTGTGTTTGCCTATAATTGTTTACACTCCGTGCACGCGCTTGATGTTGCCTCTGCTCACGCGCCATTACTGTGTGTGCTGTGTCAGGCGACGGACGTGTTCAGCAAGTACCTCGGGGAGACGGAGGAGAACATACGGCGCCTGTTTTCCTCTGCCCGCAGCGCCCGCCCGTCTGTTGTTCTCTTTGACGGCATCGACGCCTTTGCGCCAACCAGGGCCGCCGCAGCACACAGCAGGTACGGGGTATGTGTATGTATGTGTGTGTGTGTGTGTGTGTGTGTGTGTGTGTGTGTGTGTGAGAGTGTGCTTTTGTGTCTGATGCTGCAAGCTGCGCTCGGGCAGGCCCTTCGCAAGCACACACACACATACACACACACACACACCATCCAATATTCTTGTGACACGCCCTCTTCCTGCACGACTCTCCCTCTGTCCCTGTCTCTCTCTCCCTTGCTGCAGCACGGGGGTTGCGGAGCGGGCGCTGAGCCAGCTGCTGAATGAGATGGATGGCATTGAGACAACGAGAGGTGAGACAACGTGTTTTCGTTTGCTTCTGGTTTTGGATACACGCCACTGAACCAACAGCGCATGCTGCTTCGGCTCACGTGCTGTCTGTTGTGCCTTGGTTGCACGTGTGGTGCAGATGTGTTGTTAATTGCTTGCACGAACCAGCCCCTCACTGCCCTTGATTCAGCCATCCTCAGACCAGGTGTGCATGTGTGTGCATGTGTGTGTAGTGTGCGCGCTTGTGTGCGTGCGTGCATGTATGTGTGTAAGTGTGTGTGTGTGCATGTGTATGTTCACATTTGTCATTGGTTTTAGCGCTTGTCTCATGTCCCTCGCGATTCATGTCAATGCATCACGCTGCGCTCACCACCACAATCACCACCACCCACCACTACTGCTGCTGCTTGGTTGAGTAAGGGCGGTTGGAGCTGCATGTGCATTTGCCGCTGCCAACCAACGACGACAGGCGTGCCATCATCACTGCCCTCACTCGCGACACGTTCACACTGCAGAACCCGGTGCGCGGTCGCTGCTGCTGCTGTTGTCGTGGACGTGGTGGTGGTGGGACGCCTTGCTGTGTTTCATGTGAAGGCTGTGTTGTTGTTGTTGTTGTTTAAGTTGTTGTTTAAGTTGTTGTTTAAGTTGTTGTTGTTGTTTAAGTTGTTGTTGTTGTTGTTGTTGTTGTTGTTGTTGTTGTTGTTGTTGTTGTTGTTGTTGTTTCAGTTGTTGTTGGTGCTGCTGCTGCTGCTGATGACGACGGCGATGATAATGACGTGTACTTGACGTGTTCACATGAACCCCCTTGCCCTCCCTCCCTGTTTCGTGCGCTGGCAGAAAGAGGATGTGGAGTGGCTGGTGCAGCAGACCAGCGGTTTCTCAGGCGCTCGCATCCACCAGATCCTCTCCAAGGTTGTGTCTGTGTGTGTGCGTGTGCGTGTGCGTGTGTGTCTGTGTTTGAGGGGGACATGGTTGGTTGCGATGGTGCGTGTGTCACAACACACCACGATTGATGTGGATCGTCACAACCAAGCAAGCAAGCAAACAAACTAGCCGGGCTTGTCATGCACAATCACATCAGAAAGCGAGTCAGCAACGTGTGCTCTTGTACTGCATACGTAAATCACACACACATACACATGTGCTGTGCTCACACATTGACTCGTCCACGTTCTCATATCATTCGCACACAAACACACACATGAACACACACACACACACACACACACACCACCACCACCACCACCACCACACACACACACACACCGCCCTTGCAGGCGTATCTTGAAGCGTGGCATGCATCAGAACCCACCATCAGCAGGGATGTACTGCAGCCTTCACCTAGTGCAAACGAACAATAAACAGCCCACGTCAAGCGTCTCAAATCAAACAACCACTTCCGCATACATCCGATAATTCGCTATCTCTTTCATGCAAATTTCCATTTCATCGGTAAATACATTTATGTAGATTATTTTTCTCACAGACATCACAACCAATGAGTTGGGGCCCATAGCTCAGTGGTAGAGCGCGTGCTTCGCATGCACGATGTCCCGGGTTCAATCCCCGGTGGGTCCACTTTTTGCCTTTTTGCCTCCTGGCTGGAGTTGTGTGTGTCTCCTCGCCTGTATCCTCTCGCCTTTGCTTCAACACTGCCTCTCGTTTTTGTTTCGTCCCTGCAAAGATGTATTGATTGGATTGCGATTGTTCGCGTTGAACAAGACAAACAGGCAGAAGCACTGTGTGGTTCAGCTGGGAGGGGTGTATGTGTCCATGTGGTCGAGGATGCTCTTGGTGGCCTGCTCTGCGGTGGTGTTCTGGCCGTAGTAGGCAACGAAGGTTCCGTCGGGCGCCATGAGGTATTGGATGATGGAGTGGTCCACCAGGTAGTCCTCTTCGCCGTCAGGGTTTGGCCGGCTGTAGTACACGCGGAACTGCTTGCAGATGTGCTTGATCTGGTCGTGTGTGCCTGTCAGCCCAACCATCTTTGGATGGAATTCTGTTGGCGAGCAAAGGGAAGCAATGTACGTGTAAACGAGTGGGTGCGTGAGTGAGTGCGTGTGTGAATGAGTGAATGAGTGAGAATGAGAGTGAGTGAGTGAATGAGTGAGAATGAGAGTGAGTGAGTGAATGAGTGTGTGTGAGTGAGTGAGTGTGTGTAAATGAGTGTGTGTGTGTGTGTAAATGAGTGAGTGAGTGTGTAAATGAGTGAGTGAGTGAGTGTGAGTGAGTGAGTGTGAGTGTGAGTGTGTGTGTGAGTGAATGTGTGTGTGTGTGTGTGAGTGTGTGTGGAACAAGCGGGCTCGACTTTTTGCAGGCTATCTGCGTTCCTCCTTCCAACGCAGGTGCACAGACTCATCTTAGACTCACGTTTGACGTATGCCGCCACCTTGTCTGGTGTGTCTCTGTCCGGGTCAACGGAGATGAAGATGGGGGTGATGCTATCCTTGCCCTTCTTCTTGTCTGCATCACAACCGTGAAAAAAATTCAAAAATTGAGGGAAGATGTAAGACCTGTGCGCGTGTGTCTGTCTGTGTGTCTTTGTGCGCGCGCGTATGTGCCTGTGTCCGCCCACCTTTTCATACACTTATCCCATTCCCCCTCCACCACACACACACACACACACACACACACACACACACACACACACACACACACACACACACACACACACTCTCTCTCTCTCTCTCTCTCTCTCTCTCTCTTTCTTTGTTTCTTTTGCAGAGGCATGGCTTGAGCAACGTCCATTTACAGACGTACCAATGGCATCGACAATTTCGGCCATCTTCTCCAGCTCCTCCGGGCACACGTCTGGGCAGAAGGTGAAGCCAAAGTAGAGGAGGTGCCACTTCCCAAGGAAGTCTTCGTTGGTCGCCTTGTTTCCCTTTGTGTCAACGAGCTCGTACGGCCCACCAAGCGCCGGCCGTCCAGCTGCCTTGGTCGTGCGCTTCAAGCGTTCTTAGCATGTGAATGTGAATGCAGTGCGAGGACAAGACAGGGGTTAGATGAGCGTCCATATTGTGAGACACGTGCAGCTAACAACACACAAGTACACACACACACACACACATACACACACACCTTGCTCTGCTTGCTGTCGGGCAGACTGGAAGTAATACACAGCTCCTCCTCCCAGCGCCAACATGGCCACCAGGCTCTTCCAAGAAATGGGCTGTGGAAGACACACGCATATAGAGAATGTAGCACAGGAGTGACAACACAAAGCACACCCAGCGTCGCATGAGCTCCGTGTCATCACACACACACATACACACACACGCAGACACACACACACACATACACACACACACACACACACACACACACACACACACACACACACACACACACACACACACACACACACTCACGCCGCCACGTCCGAGGGACCCGCGCGTCTTGGAGGGCGGTGTGGGCTCGCTCTTGGTTTGCTGCTGCTTCGGCCGCTGCTGTTGTTGCTCCTGCTGAAACCGCCTAGTCGCACGGCTCAGCTGGCGGCGCACTGGCGCAGGCCTGCCGCTGTTGTGGAAGCCGCGTGCCACTGCAGCAGCCCCGCTCCCACTACTACCTCCAACAACACACACAGCGCGGCTCAGCGCGGCGCGCATCCCACCCATCATCATCGCCATCATTCTCCTCCTCCTCCTCCTCGTCGTCGTCGTCGTCGGAGGTGCGCAGTTCGTGTGTGTTTGGCTGCAGCTGTGTCTCGTTCGGCACAACCACCACTCTCTTGTTGCGTCTTCTTTCTTGCTTGGTTTTGCCACAGAGCAAAGGGGTAAATGCAGTTTTACCACACGCCGCAATAATTTTTATTTTTTTCTTCCGTCCTTCAACTCGGCAGCTTGGCAACAACTCTCAAAGCACTGGCTGGTGTGTTCAGCAACGCAAACGCACACACACACACACACACAACAAACACCCTACCTTTTGCCTTGCTTCGTGCTCTCCTCTCAAGCATCAGCTCTCAGCTTCACTCCCGCTTGGCTTACTCGGTGTCACTCACTGCCATTTCACCATCATCACCACACTTTGGTAGACAACACAACCAAAGAGAGATAGACAGACACCATGTCGCTCGCAAAGGTTTGTGCTGCGCGTTTACAGTGTTGATGGTGCTTGTGTGCGTGTGTGTGTTCTTTTGAGTGTGTATTTGTGTTTGCGTTGTGCCCTTTGTTGTGTGTGTGTGTACGTGTGGTGTTGGACGGGTCTGCGTTGGTGCTTTTTGACAAGGGAGTGGCTCCACTTAGAGACAGATGCACATGCATGAGCGTGTGTCCACACAATTTACGCGACATACACCACCGTTCATTTGCACTTTGTCCTTGGCTCATCACCACTCACACGCACGCATCCCAATATGATCACACGCGCGTGCAACCACACAAACGCCCCTTGTTCACATGAACAGAAGAAGGCATCAACAAAGGCGCGCCCAACGAAGCCGACACAATTCCGCTACTTTTACGAGCGCGGAGACTTCCCCATTGCGCTCGGACACAGCACCCGAGGCAACATCATCCAATGGAAGGTGCGCGTGCTGTCAAGGCTCACCCCGCCACTCAAGCATATAGCAGCCTCCTCCACCCGCCTCTCGTGAACATGCTTCCCCGTGCTGCAAGACACCGAACATTGCCGCCTCACCTTAACCTGGTTTTGTCGCTTTTGTGTTGCTCTTTGAAACAGGTCAAGGACATCAGCAAGCTTGACTATCACCACTACCTTCCTTTGTTCTTTGATGGCCTGTGCGAGACCACACACCCCTACGACTTCTTCGCAGAGCAGGGCGTCAAGGATCTCCTGGAGAAGGGCGGCGCGAAGATCCTCCCAGTCGTGCCCCAGCTCATCATCCCCATCAAAAGTGCGTGTGTGCGTGTGCGTGCGAAAGAGCGAGTGAGGGACGGTGTTTGCGCGCGTGTGCGTGTGTGTGTGTGTGCCAGCTAGAGTGCTCACATGCTTGCACGTGTGCTCTTTTCCTCTCTTCCTCGCATCCCTTGCACAATCTCCACCCCAACAACATGTGCGCAGATGCATTGAACACGCGCAACCCAGTGGTCGTTGCGCGAACGCTGAAGATTTTGCAGCGGCTCGTGCACTCTGCCCCGCTTGTTGGCGAGGCCCTCGTGCCATACTACAGGCAGATTCTCCCCATCCTCAACATCTTCAAGAACAAAAACTGTAAGTGCGGGTTGTTGTCTGCTCCGTGTTGTTGTTTTGTTGTGTGGCCTTGTGCGTGTGTGGTGTTTGCATCGCAGTCACCCTGTCCCTCGCACATGTCATCCCCAGCTCAGTCCTTGTTTCCGACACGCGCACACGTGCACACGGATGCCTTGCACATGCATGTGCGACAGCAGACACAAACACACACACACACACACACGCACACACACACACAACACAACACAACACAAACACAAACACACACACAAACACAAACACAAACACAAACGCAAACACAAAGACAAACACACACACACACACACACACACACACACACACACACACACACACACACACACACACACACACACACACACTCTCTCTCTCTCTCTCTCTCTCTCTCTCTCTCTCTCTCTCGCGCGCGCGCGCGCACATATGCCCACACTCCCACGCTGATTCTCACTGTTATGTGTCTGCTGTCGACAGCGAACATGGGGGACGCGATTGACTACGGACAGCAGAAGCGGGAAAACATTGGTGACCTCATCCAGGAGACGCTGGAGGCGTTTGAGAAGACTGGTGGCGAGGATGCTTTCATCAACATCAAGTACATGATCCCAACATACGAGTCTTGCGTCTTCAGCTAAGCTCGTCCCCTCCCTCCACCTTGCATGTGTTCATGCTCTTTCCATCTCCACTTTTCGAATGTCTGTGAGTGACCTACTTGTTCTCTGTGTTGGTGTCTGCCTGCCTGCCCCACATATGCGTCTCGATCTCTGTTTGTCTGTTTGTGTGTGTGTTTGCCTCTGCTGATTCCATGGTTTCTGGACTTGTGTTAGAGCAATGGCCTGGGTTGGGTGTTTATTGTTTGGTGTGAACTGCTGCTTCTTTGGGGTTGCCGTCTCTTACACGATGACGTATGCGCGACTGGTGCGAAGGAATGAGAGAGAGAGATGTAACACAAAGGTGGAAATGGCGCACTCAAAGCAGTTGGGCGTGCACTTGGGATTGCACTGTACAAGCACCTCGCATGCACACGCGCGTTCATGTGTATGTGTCCACTTTTCACCAGCACCACCACCATCTTGCAGTGCAATCATTCGCTGGCTCGTGCACATGTGCGGAATGCAATTCGTGTAATTTCCATTCTCAATCAGCTACAACAAAATGCGTGTGTGTATTGTGTGTGCATTGTGTGTGTGTATTGTGTGTGTGTGTGTGTGTGTGTGTGTGTGTGTGTGTGTGTGTGTGTGTGTGTGTGTGTGTGTGTGTGTGTGGGATTGTGCACGTTCAAACTACGGACTCGAATACTTCATGTGCGCTCGTCGCCGGCGCTCCTGTATCCTCTTGCGGCAGCTGCAGCACTTCCGCCTGGTGCTGCTGTTGCTGTTGGTGCTGGTGCTGGTGGTTCTGTTGCTCTTCTTCATCAGCATCAAAAGCATCATCATCATCATCAAAAGCATCATCATCATCATCGTCGTCGTCGTCGTCGTCGTCGTCGTCGTCGTCGTCGTCGTCGTCGTCGACACCACTGCCGTGCGGTTGGAACACAGCGCCCTCTGTCTTCAGCCGATCAGCGTGGCGACCACCACCAACACCACCATCATCGCCAACGTGACCACCAGCATCGCTGCTGGCTGTTGCTGCGTGCGAGGCAATCACGCGCTCGCGTGCGCCAATTGCATCCTGTGCAGTGGACAGTTCTTCCTCATACTCCTCCACCAGAACAGCGTCGCCCTGCAGTGCAATGAGGCACTGGCCCTGGTTCTTCTGCGAGTTGTCGAGCACGTCAAGGTGCTTGATGCGGCAGCCAATCAGCGCATTTCCCCCACGTGACCGCACGTGTGCACGCGCCATCGCCAGCACCTGGCACGTGGTCGATGAGCAGAGGGGAAGGGGAAGAGAGAGAGAGAGGGGGGGGGGGAGGAGAGGGACGGGAGTGGGGCAAGGCAAGGAGGATGTGAGAAAAAAAAACAATGGAAGCAAATAAATCAAGCTCAATCACCATACAGGCAGGCAGACACCAACACCCACACCCACACCCACACCCACACCCACACCCACACCCACACCCACACACGCGCGCACACCCCCACACACACACACACACACACATGCCGTGTCATCAGGCCAATGCATCACCTCCTGGATGAAGCGTTGGACAAAGCTGCTGAGGCCGCCGGCGTCGCGGAGAGAGGCGGTCTCCTTGATGATGTACATGATGACGGGGCCAAGGTGCCGCAGGGTGTGCGCACCGGGCACAGAGTTGAGCGATGTCACCGTCACGGGCTTGTTGATTGTGGTGTTGTAGTCTGCGGTGCATGACAGGGTGGGGAATGTGGGGGTGGCAGAGAGAGGGTTGGAGGAGTGGTTGGGTTGCAGCGGCGATGTGGACGAGGTGAGGGTGGAAGCATGAAGCAAAGGGCGATAGACATGCACGTGCGTGTGGATGGATGCCGAAAATTGAGTGCAAAGCAGGATCAGTGTGCTGTCTGCAAGTCGTGGATACATGACAAGAGCGTCACACACATGAGTTTCATGGCGTACCTGGTCGTGCAAGGGAACTCAACCTATCGGCTGCACACAGCAGAAAACGATGAAGGAAAGGAGCGAGGAGCAACAGGATGAGAGCATGAAAGGTGAAGGGTGAAGGATGAAGGGTGAATGGCAGGGGGGGGGGGTGATGTGAGACATGGCAAATGTCAGAACAGGGAACACGACCAGACGGAATGGACGAAAACAAACAAACAAACAAACAAAAAAAAAAAACGCGCGGTGATGCACGGGACCCGTGCAATAAAGTGTAGGGTGCATCAGAAGTCACACTCACCACTCGGCTGATCCGAAACGCTCGAAGTCGGGTCTATGGATGAAACCACACACGATTTCGAGAGTGAGAAACGACAAGGTGGGAACGAGAACAGCAAACAAAAGCCTTGAGATGACGCGTGGGTGCGTGTGTGGGCTTGTGCAAGCACAGATGTATATATGGCTATTCGAATGTCCACGCCGAAATTTGGATTCATGTGCGTGGTAATGACAACCTGTCGATGTTTGCGAAAGTTGTCGTTCCCGCACAGTCTGCAACCGAATGATGGAGGCTGTCACTAAAATCTGAACAGGGGGAAGAAGGAGAGGGGTGAGGTTCGCAGCAGCAGCAGCAACAGCACCACCACCAGCAGCAGCTGCGACAACAACAACTTAAACAACTTAAACAACAACAACGACAACACGTGCAGCAGCAATAGAGTTGTCTTCACCTGGACTTCATACGACTCCGGGAGCGTCACACTCCAGCGCAAGTTGGCGATGAGGCACGGGCGGTGTTTCCTCATCTTGAAGCAAATGGACGTCAGCAGGGCGTCGAACACATGTGCGAGCTGGTGGTTGACGGGCGCCTTTGGGTTGATGGTCGTCTTGTACACGGACATGACCTGGTCGACAATGTCGCGCGGGGTGTACCCGTGCGTCTGCTCGATGCCGGGCACAACTTCAGTGCTGGACACGAAGAACCCTGACCACACACACACACACACACACACACACACACACACACACACACACACACACACACACACACACACACACACACACACACACACACAGGTAAACAGGTAGACGGACGCGTACGGTAAGTCGTTTGCAACGCAAGCACTCATCCCTGGCTGCGCAGATGTTGTTCACACTCGCAACCAAAACAAAACAAAAATGCAAAGCACAGACGTGCACTCGCACAGGGAGGAACACACACACAGATACACATACACACACACACACACACACAGATACACACACACACACGCGCGCGCACGCACGCACGCAGGCGCAGTGAGCCCACATACACTCTGCATCCCGCCATACACCCTGCACCGCACCCTCGGGGAGTTCTGCTTCCCACAGGGAGAGAACATCGTCGCTGTCCACGGAATCGTCGACTTCAACCACTGCCGTCCGCTCATTGTGCGACGCAGCCGACACGGGCCTGTGGTGGTGGTGGTGGTTGTGGTGGTGGTGGTGGTGGGTGCACGAAGGTGTGCATGGGCATGTGTATGGGTGTTCATATGCACGTGTCGTTGAGCATGCAAGCTTGGTGGATTGATGTGAAGGAAGCTGTGTCATGGTGGTATCAATGTGTGTGCTGTGGTGACTGCGTACATGTGGGGCGCCGCTGTTGCGTCGGATGTTTCTGCCTCTGCAAAATGCTGATATGGATGTCTTGCCTGGACACATGAACACAACGCCACGTGAAGGTGGAACGCACAAGAAAGTGCACTGAAAGGTGAGTGCGTGTACGTGACAGCATGCACGTATGTTCGTGCCCATCAGCGCACCAGTACGTGCACATGTGTGTGTGCGTTGCATGTGCACGCGGGACGGGACCTTTGCGTGGCTGATGGCGGCTTTGTTTTCCGACAGCTTCTGCATGAGTGCCGTCATCTTCTCAATCATGTCCACATCATCGCGGCCCACACCCTGTAGTCGCGGTCGTGGCGAATGGCAGCAGTGAACGCGCGCGCGCGTGTGCGTGTGTGTGTGTGTGTGCGTGTGTGTGAATTACTCAGCTGCAAACACGAATAAACACACATGCACACAAGTACACATGTGCACACGCACACGCTACGTACAGCACAAGGAAACAGCAGCAAGTTGCGCACACCATTGACTTGCGGAGGATTTGGAGTTCCGGCGGGAGTGGAAGACACGCGAGATGCACAGCCGTTGCAGTGGCGACAGCAACGCACATGTTCGTGCCAATGGTCACCTGGCATCATCATGTGAAAACGTAAGTGAGTTGGGCGAGTGAGAGGGTGTGTGTGCGTGCGTGTGTGTGTGTGTGTGTGTGTGTGTGTGTGTGTGTGTGTGTGTGTGTGTGTGTGTGTGTGTGTGTGTGTGTGTGTGTGTGTGTGTGCAAGTGTGAGCGAGCGGTTATCGTTCACGTGAAGACACCCCCCTTCGAGTAGTGCTGAGGTTGCAGGGAATGCCTGGCTCGGCGTGTGCAACAAATCGAGTACAAAACTGGCGTTGGCACTCGCACCTCAACGCGAAGATTAAAGAGCGCATTCATCGCCAGGACTTTGAGTTTGTTGTACAGCTGCAAGTATCGCAGTCATCGCCAGGCAACCGTGAGAACAGGGAAGGTGGTGTGTCTGTGTGTGCGTGTGTGTGTGTGTGTGCGTGTGTGTGTTGGGGGAGGGGGAGGCAGTGAAGAGGACACGCACAGCTGCAACTAAGTGAGCTTGGAATTGAACACATACACAGCGCACACAAAGTGGTGGTTATTCAGACACAAATGCACAACACAACACGCAACCTGCTGGTGAAGGGCGTATTCGAGGAAGGGCATCCCCTCCGCAAGTTCAGCGGCGGCATCGTAGCTGCCGTGTGTTTTGCGGCGAATGCGACACACGCGCGCCTGAATGAACGTCGCACAGCTGACGAGCGGCACGTCGTCAGGCGGGTCGACTGGCGAAGGCGAAGGCGGCCGTGGTGATGGTGGAGTGAGGTGGAGGTACGGTGTTATGATGTTACTGCAGACACGTGCGCTTATGGTGGGGTACGTGTGTTGTTGTTTGGGTAAGTGAGAGTGGCTGTGTGTGCGCATCACGTTGCTTACTTGTGGTGAAGAGAATGTCCGCCACGAAATGGCCAGAGCGGCAAATCTGAACACGATACAACAGATGAGAGGAGAGCAATTGGGGCGGAGGGTCAGTACCTTCGAGCACCTCATTGCTGAAGCAACACGAGCTGTGGATCAGGATGCTACACGCTCACACGTCATGCTGCTGGACCCCACCCCACCCCAACAAATTGCTCACCACCACCACTTTCATCATCATCATCATCATCGTCGTCATCATCATCATCATCATCATCATCATCATCATCATCATCATCATCATCATCATCATCATCATCATCATCATCATCATCATCATCATCATCACCATTACGCGTGATTGATGGCTGCTTCTCACCTCACAGGATGCAAACGATTCTGCGAAAGAGTCGACTGGCACGGACGGCGGGAGATGGAAGGGGGCGCACGGCGGCTGGTCTGGAGTGCTCTCCTCGTGGTGGCCCTGAAGGATTGGCGTGGCATCAATTGTTGGTGTGGGTGGGGAGAGGGGCGCGTTCGTTTGTGAGGTGTGGAAACGACAACGAGCACACACACTCACACGCACACACACACACGCACATACACACATTACACTCACACACACACACACGCACATACACACACTACACTGGAGAACATTCGCAACCACCCGCCCACATTCCTTCCATCCCACCCAACTTCCTCTACCTCAGCCGAAGCCAAGAGCGAAGAGACTGCACCACCCGTTGTTGTTGTTACAGCAGCGGCGGTGTTCGCATCTCCATTGCTGCCGGTGTTGGTGGTGTTGTTGTTCTTGTTGTGGTGGTTGTTGTTCTTGTTGTGGTGGTTGTTGTTGGTTCCGCCACTGCTGTTGTGGCTCACGGAGGTCGTGCCACCATCGTGCCCACCATGCTGACCGTGACCGTGGCTGTGACCGTGGCTGTGACCGTGGCTGTGGCTGTGGCTGTGTGTGTCGCCCTCTGGCGTTGGGGTGACAGGGGCCGGGAGCGACGAGTCTGCAGAGCTCAAGCGCCGCCGTCCAACGCGCCCCGCCGACGCATGCCTGATGGATCGTGGTGATGGTGCATGGACGGGTGGGTGTAAGTCATGGGTCGCTGGTGGAGGCGATGCAAGCAAGCGCGCAAAGTGACGCGAGACGGTAGAGGCGTGTCTGTTCGACACATCACATCACATCACATCACATCACATCACATCACATCACATCACATCACACCACACCACACCAACCCCAAGGCAACGCCGTGCTGCGGGTCTATGTTGAGGATGGCCGCCGTGCCTGTTGGGGGGGGGGTAGTGGAAGCCAGCGTTTGAAGGAGACAGCCGATGAGAGGTGAATACATGTGCACACACACATACACGCACACACGCACACACGCACACACGCAAGCACACAGGGTACACAAGCACACACACACACACAGATCACGCAACACACACACACACACACACTCGTCCATCATTAACACATTCGCATTCATGTGTGCAACAGGAGGACACAAACCTGTTGCAGAGAGAAGACAGAGGTTGTCGCAGATGCTGGCTGTCTCTGAATATCCGATGACAGCGGTGTACCCAAGGCTCGCCGCGTGGCCGGCCACCTCGGTCCGCAGCTCAGACCACCACACGTCCCTGGTTGGTTCCCGGCAATTGCGAGATTGACGTGGCAGTGGGGCATGGGTGGGTGGATGAGTGGATGAGTGGAGATGCGTGTGAGTGAGGAAGGTGAAGAGAGGGTGAGTGAAGAACTACAAGTGCCAGGACAGGCCCATCAGTTCTACATGACGCCAACAGCAGCTCGTGATAAGCGGTGGTTATGCAAGGCACGAGCACGACGATGCCGACTGTCCACCGACCTCGTGTCGGTTTCGTCCGGATTCTCCATCTTGTCCAGCAGTTTTACAGCTCGCGCCGTCACCACTCCACCTGTACACGCACGCAAGTTCACACACATTTACGCACACATGCTCACACATTTACACACACACACACATGCACATACAAGTACATACATGCACAAACACGCAAACAGCGAGAAAGCAGGAGCGACAGAGCAAGGACATGACGTTAATATGAGGGGCGTGCAGATGGAGTGCCAAGCTTGCTGGTGTGTGTGTGTGTGTGTGTGTGTGTGTGTGTGTGTGTGTGTGTGTGTGTGTGTGTGTGTGTGTGTGTGTGTGTGTGCTTGTGACGCACCGACGCTGAGGAGAAGAGTATCCGGCAGACTGCACAATGTGATGAGCGGGATGTTGGAATCGGGCGCCGTCACAGATGCAAACCGCTCAACGCCTAATGATGCGCGTGGGGAAAGGTGACACGTGAGCTGGAAGTGACCATGCATGTAATGCCACACACACACACACACACACACACACACACACACACACACACACACACACACACACACACACACACACATGTCCATGGGTGACCCTGGGCGAACCACGTTGTCGCACTTTGAAAGGACAGGTCGGCTGGTGCGGACGCCTGTGCCGGCAGCTGCGACTGCTGTTGTTGATGCTGCTGCTGGCTATGGGGGTGCGTGTGTGTTGAAGTGTCGTGATGTCGGCGTGGCTCCTGTGGAAGCGACGGAAGCGCCGCAACAGAGGCGAGAAGGCGCGATAAAACGACGCAGCATGGCAAAAGCGAATGAATGAATGGACGGACACGTCGGCAGTGTTAGTGAAGGCCTGTTTTGCGTGTGCATTGTGCGTTGTGCGGTGCTTGCGTGTGTTTGCGTCATGACAAACATGTCGGTGAGGAAATGAAATCACAACTCACCGGTGATTGCGTGGTGTTCACGGGTCTGGATCGAGAGAACAGCGACGCCAGGACAATGGTGGCGGCGGTGGAGTGTGCATGCCAAGTGTAAAGGAAGGAAAACAAAGGAATCGTGAGAATGAACGAGCATCATTCACGTGACTGCACACATGAGTCCTCAACCCACTTGCTCCAAGTACCACCACCACCACCACCACTCCCAGCACTACTCTCACTCTTCACAGCCACGACGACGCGCAACGTACGGCGGTGCGAGCTTTGCGGCAGGCGGAGCGGCGGGCAGGTCTGTGGGCGCATCCTCAATGATGACGGCTGCGGTGCCAATACCGCGGGCAACGAGACCAGAGTCGCCCTCCAAGTCAAAGAGTTGCCGGTACCCAATCACCGCATTCGCCTTCATGTCAATCGCCTGTCGCGCGCGTGTGTGTGTATGTGTGTATGTGAGCGCCCCCCCGCGCGCGCGTGTGTGTGTGTGTTGGCACGATGGATTCAATGGTGTGAGAGGCGATGTGCGAAGAGATCAAACAACACCGTCCACCACCATCATCAACACCACCATGGCTGCGGACCTTCCTGCCGATCCTGCGCTGGAGTTCGCCGGCAACGGTAGCAAACACGTGCTGGCGCGCCTGGTTGGACTGCCGCGTGGGGCGCACCCGGTCAATCCACTGGCAGCAGGTGCACGCGTATGCTTCGTGTGAGGTGGGGCACTTGCGATGGTGACAGTGGTCATACCTTTTTTTTTTTCGCAAACAGCAACAAGAACACGTGCAGGCAAACATGCACACACACACACATACATACACACACACACACACACACACACACACACACACACACACACACACCCACACACAAACACACAGACACAGACACACGTGTGCGTGTTACCTGGTATTCCGGATCGTCATTGACGATGAGTTCTTCCACAAGACCGCGCACAGCCACAATCTTGTAGCACTACAGATGCGCCGCAAATGGGCAGGCAGGTGAGGTTACAAGCAAGCCCGTCGCCAGAACACACACACACACACATGCACACACGCACACACACATACACCTCACACACACATTCTCTGTCTCTCTGTCTCTCTGTCTCTCTGTCTCTCTCTCACTCTCTGTCTACCTTTGGGACGGCCATGGTGGAGAAGAAGGACACGCCCACGGACGTGTCTCTGTACTTGTGATGGTTTCTGCAGTGCCACCAGCCATGGCACAGGCGCAACAGGACCGTGCAAGGAAGGGGGTGAGTGACCAAGGCTTGGAGACGGCGAACTTCATATGTGTGTGTGTGTGTGTTTGTGTGTGTGTGTGGTAGCAGCAGGGATGGACAAAAACGTAGTCCATTACTGACTTGAAGAGATCGACTTTGACGGTGACGGCGACAGAACCGCGAACTCCTTTTAGCGTGTCGTAGATGGGGAACCATCCACTTATCTGCACGTTCGAAAACACGCACCCTTTTTGATGAGCAAATCCAACAGCTGCCCCCCCCCCCATACACACAGCGGGTGTTCCGCTTGCATCAAACATGGGATGATTTAACCCACCTGTGAGCCGTTGTAGGGCCCAAGTGGCATCAGGTCGATGATCACCTGCACAAGAACACCAACACCACATGCCCACAAACACCACGAAGCGCATGTTCACACCAACATCAGCAACAGCTGCAGGTACGCACAAAGCGCGTGTGCCGCTTGTTTTCAAGTTCAGTGAGTGCCATGCAACCGCATCTCATGGATACAGGAACACAAGCATGAAATCGTCCACGCACCTGGCCGATGACATCGTCTGTGCCGATGCGGTCGTGATCCCAGACGTTGATCTGAATGATGGTGGTAAGCAAGGCGCAGGCACAATCGTCAGCCACTGTGAGCAGCAAGAACTGGCACGTCGCTCGCCCATTCGGTGTATGACATCACAGGAAGTGAAGCAGCAGTTGCAAGTGGAAAGCAAGCACGTCGCTGTTGCATTACCTCCAGCACTTCGTCCTGGATGTCTTCGTCATCGACCTCCAACCGAAAGTCCTCGTTCCACACCGGGTTCAGTGTTTTCTTGACCGTCTGCGTCTTGCGCGTGAGCGTGTGGAACTTGACCTCGACGTACGCATCCGTCAGCTGTGTGG